GTCTTCGAGTCCGACTCTTCGAGCTTTGACTTTTCCGAACCTGCAAAGAAAAATCAACAAAAGAGCAAACAATTTTTAAATGGTTAGAAAATTGGTTTTTGGTCGATCCCGATACCCTCAGTAAAAACTCATCATCGGGTATGTCGGGAGGGCAACGACAAAGTCATTGCCAGCTCCCGACTTTAAATTCCGGCCCTAGCACAAGACCCGACAGCATCTGTTCTAAATTTTGTCCAGGAGAGAGAGAAAGTGTTTTTTTTCAAGAAAAAGTGATTTTGAAAATAAGTGCTTCTAGAATTTTATCCAAAAAATGGTTTTTGCCAAACATGTCACTAACAACAAGTCCCAAAATTTTCTGACCCAAAATGGATCAAACAAGATCCACGCAAGCAGCAAACCAATTCCTGGAAAAAGTCCAACCAACCAAGAAATTTGCAACCTACAGCAACAATAGAGCCTGAAAAATCGCAAGAAATCAGAACATGTGAGCCTCCAAATGCAACAAAATCATCACAACAAATGAACCGAGTCAGCATGCATCAAATCTGCAACCAAGATCGTAACAACAAATCAAAACGGCAAGCTCATCAAATCCGCAACCAAGATCGTAACAGTATCACGAACCCAGGCCCATAAAACATCATCAATAATAAGAACATCAGTTCATAAGAGAAAGGGGGGAAGAACAAAGGGATCCATCATCAAGATCAGAACGGACCGAACCTAGAAGGCGGCGACGGAAACCCTAAGGTTTCAACGCCAACCAAGTGCAACCGGCGACAAGCATCAACCCACGACCTCAGTCCATAACATCACCGGATGGAAAACGGACAAAAGCATCAAAAAAGGCGGCCATCTCCACAACGAAGAGAAAATCATTAAAAGGAGAAAAACCTGAAGGTTCATCATCATCACTAGTCGACCATCATCAGACGGCAACGAAAAACCCAGCCGGGACAACAAAATCGTCGCGAGATCAATCATCTCCGGCCATAAAATATTCAAAGAGCACACAGCCTCAGATTTCCATCATCATCGGCCAACAACAACCGCAAATCAGCATAAGTCACCCACGGCCGTGAACAACGACGCGACCACCACACGACCAATCATTAGAACCGCTTCAAACCCTTAAAAGGTGAGCAGTTCTTTGCATTGTTCTATTTATTTTTTGTTTTTTCTAGGATCCATGAGAAGTAGAAGGATGTTCATGAGAGTAATGGAAAAATTTGAATGGAACAAACATGGCAGTAAGAAGAAAGAAAGAGATGAAGCTTCAGAGAAGAAGCAAGAAGTCTGTGTCGCGGCTGGAGAGAGGGGTTTCTACAACCCTAAAAAAATTTGGAAACCCCTTTTATTGTCTGGACCGGGTCGGGTCTGGGTTGGTGGCCAGCCCAACCTGCTTCGTTTTATGATTTTATTTGTTTTTTATTTTATCTAATTATTATTCTATTTTATTTAAAATGTAACTAACAATTAATATAAAACTTTTCATAAATAAAACTTAAACTTTTCTATTAATTAAAAGGTTAATTAACAAAATAAATTTTTTGTGTGCAAGTAATAAAACCCCAAAATCTTTTTTTAATTAAAACATCAAAAATTAAAACCCTTTTTTTTATTAGAACATTAAAAATTAAAGTCATTCTTTCTTAATCAAAACAGATTTAAAATTAAAACCTTTTTTTAATTTACTAGAACCCTTTTAAATTTTTATTAGAAATATTCCTTTAAGATTTAGCATTTGTAAATTGAAAAACCTTTTTTTGGAAAGTAAGATTTTTGTTAATAAATTACAATTCAACTTTTAAAACTTAATTTTTCAAACTAAAACTCTTTGTGTAGATTCCTCAGTTAATCTTGAAACCTTTCATAAAAATATGGTTAACATCCCGATTTCAGTTGCGAATTAATTTTGCCCGTTTCTTTCCCCGTTAACTTTGTATAACGCTTATATCGTTCCATTCGTTGCTTCCTCAGTTGTACATTTGTTACTCTTTTATTTCCGCACTTCATTTTATGGTTGTAAGTTATGCGAGTATATCGTCGCTTTGCATTTTACTGTTTTCGCACTTTCTCATATTTTAATTATGTCATATAATCAGTTATTCATTTGCATTAGTTACCGTTAAACCCTTCCGAAGGAATAGGTCTAACTGTTTGACCGCCGTGTCAATAGTCCTTACCTTTGACCCTTTCATTTTCCAAAACCCTAATTGTCTAGGTGTCCCGTCGTGGACTAAATCACCCTTTACCCTAGCAGTAGGTTAAGGAGTCGTTATACTCCGTATTAGGTTTTCCACCGTGGAATACCTAGTTTACTCCTTTTAATGCAATTCAATTACAACGTAGAAATAAGAGTCTCCGCACTCCACGTAAGGGCTTCCTTAAGAACGCTTATTCCCCATTGAAACCTTGACCACAGTCAAGAAGTTTCTAACCTCCCTTTCAAGGGGAACTACGATTACTCTGATTCCATCCCCTACCTCGGATACGTAGGCACAAGATGCGAGTCTTGGCGAGTAAACTTAGGACTAACCCTTAGGTCTTTCTTTCACCTTCTAACCCTTTGCGTATACCCTCAAGCAAATAATTAAAGCAAAATAGTAAACTTTAAACAAGAGGTTCCTGTAGAGTACTACAGAAGTTTAGGGTGTTAATACATTCCTTAAGCTTAACCAACTCCTTACCTAGATGTCTCCCTGCATTGTTTACGATGCAAAATAGGTTTTTCCTTTCTTTGACCATTCCTTCGGATAAATTAAAGACCGGTTGTGAATCAAAAATTTGTGATTCAAATTAATTAATAATTTGATATCCTATTCTCATCGCAACAGTAGGCACAAGGGCCTCAATCCTTGCCGAGCACCCTATTCTTAAACCATCCATTTCCCCTAGCATCGAATCCTTTTATCTTATTTTTTCGCATTTATCATTGAGAAGAAAACAAATAAGCTTAGCTAACATTCATCACAATTCAAATTAAGAGGTTCCCGTTGAGTACAACGAACGTGACGGGTGCTAATACCTTCCCCTCGAGTAACCGACGCCTGAATCCAGAACATGGTTGCGACGACCATGTTCTTATCTCTCTTTAAAGGTTTTCTTGATATTTTATTTTCCCTCTTTTTTGGGATAAATAAAGTTCGGTGGCGGCTCTGTCGAACCGCATTTTGCGCCTTTCGCGTGAGGGTCGTATTCTCGATGATTTTTTGAGGTGCGACACTTCTATATATTTATTTAGGTATAATTGTTAAATCTCTCTCAATCTTTCTCTTTAGGTAGGGATAAGTATTAGTGTCTTGTCTTTTTAAACTTAGATATGTGGACCAAATCTTGATGTCCAAGCATATCTATCTTATTGGCTTGGCTAGTTCAATCCATAACTTTGTGTGCATGATCTTCTTTAACGAGTGGTTTTTCTAAATATTCATTTTGGTTGTCAGAAAGTAATTTAACCTCTTGTCATTAGGATAACAGTTCAATTTGTTTCATCTACTTCCCTTATCTTCGTTTTGTTCGGGATACTTCTCTTTGTTGTCCTTGGCTTTTATCTTTATGTTGCTCTTTTCACCTTATTTGTAACATTTTTCGTGCTTCATAACTTCTTGTATGATGATGGTCTTCTTTTGCGCCAAAAACCCATTGAAGTCCTTTACCTTTAGCCCATTTTGAAATTCTCGAACAAACATCTCTTAATTAGGGCTAGAAACCCTAATAATAGCTAAATTAAATTGGATAGGGTGGTCTTTTAGGATTTTTGAGCTACCCTGATAGACGTCGATGGGCTTCTTGTCGTTACCTTCTAATGTTTATCATCGGGTTACCTCCTATTTACCATGTTGATTACCAGGGTAGGTTCATATACCACTAAAGTTTTGTGTCCTTTAGGGTTTTCAAAAAAAGCTTACACTTCAGAGGTTTTGCTTCCCCTATAATGGTCATATGTGTATTAATCAAACATATGTGTTCATAAAATTTCTCTTTTCATTGAAAGCTTCAAAGTGAAAGGGTTTGAAGTTTTTTTGGATCGGGACTCCCATATCTCTTTGCAAAGAGGTTGAGGATCCTCTAACCCATCGTCTGGTTTGTCCTGAATAACCCGCTCTTTTTTGGATTCCTTATGCTCGTGTTTGTAAGGTCTCATCATGGCGTCTTAATTCGTCCTAATTCGTCCATTGTGTCTCGATTTGTTAGTAGGGCCTCACTTTCTTCCGTTGATGTTGATCGTGTCATATCCTCCATAGGATGAATGGTTATGTGGACGAAGAACTTTTCATACCCATAATGGGTGGGAGACTAGAGGTGGATGAGTCATATCCTCCGATCTAGTAAGACTGCTAATATGACCAATGATCACAGATAAAAATTGGTATAGCCTTGTCCCATAATGGGTGGGAGACTAGAGGTGGAGGGATCATGAATTGGAGACTCTGATCTTATTTATAGGCTCATTTGGAGATGGTGACAGCTCTTTTATCCTTATGCCAATACGACCATGTTTATGATCAGCCATGTGATGGCATGTTGTGCTTGAGTGCCGATTTAATTAAATAAATGGTCTAATGATACAACCAGACTAGTGATGAGCATAGTTTATGATTTTTATTGGTTGGACCGACTGAAACAGTCCGGATTTTAAAATTATGGGTTAGGCCGATAGAACAGAGAAAGAGAGCAGAAAATTGAAATTACAATGTGAAAGCAAAATGGAATTGTGAAATAATGAGATACATACTCTCTACAAGACTGACCCATAGCTTAGACTCCACATAGAACAAATTTTCTGTCTACAGTTTTCAAACAGAAATGCTCAACATTACCCATTATTCTCTCCACTCACTTCTTATAACCAACTCGAGATAGGCAGCACCCTTTTCTCACACCCCTCAACCCTCTTTTTCTTTCTCTTACACACTCTCTACATGGTGAGCCTATTATTCTTAGGACTAATCAACATATCATCTACTGGCTCAAATTTGGTGCCATATCACTTCTGCTCAAGATTGTTGTTTGTCATATACCAGCAGATCAGCATGCGTTTCCTTATAACGCTGACTCAAGTAGTCCTTGTAATAGATAGGAGCATATCTGAAAACAGATATAAGCAATGATGTAAGACTTATAAAGAATGCTAAAAAGAAAGATCATTGTACATGTTAAATCAGATAATAGTATTGATTTACTTGGGAGGATTTGCGTCTGATTTGCAGGTTGGCAAGCATTCCACTAGACAATCATGACCAGGCTCCAAGAAATATGCAATCTGTAAATAATCAGTATAGGAACAAGGAAATTAGCATTGACTCTTTACAAGTTTAATGTAATAAAGAATTGTAGAAAGAAGTATGTTAAAATGTAATAAAGCTTTGCAATCAAATGTAAAAGAAAAAGAAAGAGTTGGAGCTTACAGAATATCTTTCTTGACCATTTCCTATAACTCTATGCAATGTTGACCTGAGTTTAAATGTAAAAGCAAATCCTGAATTTTGCAATGAATATAATACAAATTAAAAACAATGCACTGAAAAAAGCACTAATACTTGTACAAGTGCACACAACCATGGTTTTAAATTGTGATTGCGGCTGCGGTTGCGGCCATTGCAATTGCGGGTATTGCGGCTGTTGCTATGTAAATTGAGGTTTTTGCAGCGTGAATTTTTTTTTTATGAACATAAAATATTATAATTTATTATTTATTTTATGTTTCACATGTCTTCCACTTCCTCTCTAAATTTTCATATATATCTCACTAACAACAACTAGTCATCACTTTGAATATCTCTAATCCTTTTAAAACATACCTTAAATCTATGATATAAATAGAAATGAAGGTAGACCAAGTAATTTTTGCGAGCACTACATAATCTGTTGCAGGCTGATGCGGTCCGATGCGGCCGTTGTGGTGTTATAATGCGGCTGTTGTGGCATTATGAAAGGTTTTTTAGTGTGGTTTACGATAACACCACAATTGAGGTCTGATGCGGATGCGGACACTACCACAACCGCAATGTTGCGGTCGCATCACGTGATACGGACCGCAATTTAAAACCATGCACACAACGGTTCTAAATAAAGCAGTAATATATATGTAGGGGGAAAATAGCAGTATAGCTGCATTGGAAAAGTTTCTCACTTGAAAGTACAGTTGCTCCAGCGCTCCAGCATATCTCCAAGATTAACTATAAATGCTCTGCAAAAACATCAACAATACAAAGAATGTAAACTATCAATGAAAGAAAGAGTACATTAGAAAATTTTCAGAAATTACTCAAAATTCAAATATCAGTGTTAAGAAAAAAAAGAAATGTCAATAGTAATGCATATGTTGCATTCCGTTTTAAATCATAAAAGCTATAGTACCACAAAGACTAACCCCTTTAATGGTGCCACATCCTCCCATATCTGAGGTTCAGCTTCCTTATTTTTACATATCTGCAAAACAAAAATGTTAGTCATCGTTTATCGGTGAAATTTTAGAGTTATAGCATAGACAGAAAACTGAGTTGTATTGTTACTTGAAGACCCTTGACATCATCTGTTGCTAACAAAGTAATCAGACCATAGTCAGTATGAGCTCCAGCTGCGTACAAACCTCGCGACGGATCTGAGATTTTATCTTCACGGAACAACAACATACAAACAATGAAATTATGAATACAGTACTCAAAGTTGTGTTTGTGTAGTTTGTAATTATACCAGCTATAAGGATTAAGGCACACAAAAACTGCTAATTTCAATACCTTGATAGTGTAGCAAACGCAGAATCGCAATGGGATCTCCTAGGGTTTCTTGTTTGTTGAAAAAATTAGCATCCAAATCAAGTGCAAGAGCTATTATCTTGGCAACTGCTTTCCCAACTTCTCTGAATACCTCATAAATAACCATAAACAAACAATGAATGAATAACAAGTCTCAGTGTCTAGTCAGTGTCTACACGAACACCGTTATTTTTTTCAAAAGTGTCGGTGCTACAGAGTATACAAGTTAAGCAAAACTTACAATGCCTGGCGTTGGTATTCTTCCATAGTTTCCCTCCATCCTGGGAGAACATCTAAAAGAGCATAGACATAATTGATGAGAAACCAAAATTTATTGTTGAACGAAAGAACCAGAGTCAGCTAATTATTTATGAAGCACAGACACCCCGAACACAACACCCACACGCAGATACATCTTTTTTCAGAGATGTCAGTGTTACCTGATGCCGGCCATAAGTTTGGGCCATGAAAAGGTTTGTGATGAAGTGGATCAGTAGCTTCAACTCCAATATAATAGCCTTCTTTGAAATCACCATGTAATTGGTTCTGAGGATCAAGGATTTCATCGAGAAGAGGAGTGTATCCCCTACTGTGATCGTTCCGGAGAACCTTCATCTTTTCGTCGAGTGGAAGGTTGAAAAATTTCTTGCTCTGGTCAAAAACCTGGTCCATAAACTCCTGGCTAATTCCATGATTGACAATGTAGAAAAACCCAGAATCGGTACAAGACTGAAAATTGGAGCGAAAAATACACAATAAAAAAGTTATTATGAGAGTTGGTTCTTCTATGTAAAATCAAATCGAAAGAAGAGGAATGTGTTTGTTTTAGAATTTTTTTGTTTTTACCTGTTTGAGCAAATTAACGGATTGTTGAATATTGAAGTTGGAGAGGTCAATACAATTGAGGACTGCTTCTACACTCTCTTTTTCCATATTCTATTCTGTGTATTGATTTTAGGGACAAGGTGATAATAACACTGTTTTTTTTTTTTTTTAATTTAATTGATATACATTTGACTATCAGTTAATTTCTTCTATAATCAAAATGGATTAAGGAGAGTACAGAGATACAGCTGCGGACTTGGGAGATGGAGTTAGCAACTTGCAGCCCACTATTTTTAATATTGATAGGCTCATTCGTACTAAGAAGCTTCCTTCAAAATATCAAGATCACATACTTTATTAAATGAGTATTTGTTTTATTCCTAGTTATTTCTATTTTTTGTTTCTGCTTGTTTCTAGAAGGTTATGACTCAGCCAAAGTTTGTTAGTAGTGTCTTGTTGTGGTGTAAGTTTGTTAGTAGTGTTATTCAAAACTATATAAGATGTATTTGCTCATTGAGCTAAGGGAGTAAAAATCATTGCAGAAAATTATCTCTCTTCCTCTATTCACTGCTTTAGGAGGTTTGGCTCAGTCCTTAAAACTGAGCACTATCACTTGGTGCTTTCATTGTGTTGAATTCCTCTTCCATCCATGACTTTCCGTCCTCCCCCATCTGATCCTGTAGCTGATCTCGCTCGTCAAGTTGCCATTCTCACCGCCCAACTTGAAGCTATGCACAAACGTTTTGAGGATACATCATCTCCCGATGCATCCCGTTCCAGTCCAGATTCACACCACCGCCTTCGTCTCAAGTTAGACGTTCCTCGTTTCGACGGAACAGATACACATGGTTGGATCTTCAAGATCTCACAATTCTTTACTTATCACCAGACACCTGATGAGGAACGCATCACCATTGCTTCCTTTTATCTCGACGGTCCGGCCTTGGCATGGTACCAGTGGATGTATCGGAATCGTCAGATCGCGTCGTGGGCCCAATTTTTGGAGAAATTAGAAATTCGTTTCGCTCTAACTGCGTTTGACGATCCTCGCGGTAACCTTTTTAAACTTACCCAATCTTCTTCTGTGACGACGTATCTCACTGAATTTGAAGCTCTTGCAAATCGCCTTGACGGTTTATCTAAAGCTAATCTTCTCAGTTGTTTCATTTCTGGGTTAAAAATCGATGTTCGTCGTGAGGTCTTGGCTCAACAACCAACAACCATCTCGCAGGCTGCTGGTCTTGCTCGTTTACAAGAGGATAAGTTGAAAGACATTACGCTTTCTTCGCGTCCTCAACCGTCGCCACCATGCCAATCTGCTTTAGGGCCTCGTCCTTCACCCAAGCCCTATTTTGATTCCTCTTCCATGGTGAAACCCTCCCAAGGCCTTCTTCCTACGCCACCAGCAAAGCCCTGTTTTCGGCATCTCTTCGGGGCAGAACTCGATGAACGACGTCAGAAGGGTTTGTGCTTCAATTGTGATCAACCATGGTCCAAACAACACAAATGTGGTGGTCGTGTGTTTTTAATGGTTGCTACTGATGAGGATTTTTCTTCTACGCCCGGTGAATTAGAGTCAGCGGCGGTAGAATTGATTGACGGCGTTGTTGCATCGGAGGAACTCTCTGCTCATGCAGCACAATTAAGTTTACATGCTCTTTCTGAGGACCAAGCTGCTGACACATTCCGCATCTTGGGCCGAATCTCCTCTAACCCGGTTGGTGTTTTGGTGGATGGGGGCAGTACCCATAATTTTGTCAAGGATATTATTGCTTCTACTTTGGGCCTCCCCTTGGACCCAATTGATCCATTCAGAGTTTTAGTTGGCAGTGGACAAGAATTAGTGTGCTCCCATATTTGTCATGAGGTGTCAATAGTTTTACAAGGCCATTCATTCACTATGGATCTCTTTGTCTTAGGCTTACGTGGTGCGGATGTTGTGTTAGGGGCTAAATGGTTGCGGGGGTTAGGCCCAGTTTTAATGAATTACAATCTTCTTACTATGACTTTTTTTCATAACAATTCAAATGTTGAGTTGAAGGGAGATTCACCAACTTGTCCTATAGGCTTTCACCAATTCCAACGGATCACTATAATAGACCCTGAGGCCCAATTATTTTCCCTCCATGTCATCGGTACACATGACACCCAATCTAATTTTTCTTCCCAACCAGATACACTAAACCTTAACCCTGAGTTCACCTCCCTCCTCACCAAATACTCCCACCTTTTCTTTGAACCCTCCATACTCCCCCCACCTAGACCAACTGACCACAAAATTCCCCTCCTACCCCAATCCACACCGGTCAATATTCGACCTTACCGATACCCATACTCACAGAAGCTTGAGATAGAATCTCAAGTAGCCAAATTATTGCAAACTGGGTGGATACGACCTAGCACAAGTCCTTTTTCTTCCCCTGTTCTTCTCCTAAAAAAAGGATGGATCCTGGCGTATGTGCATAGACTACCGCGCTTTGAATGTTATTACTGTCCCTGGTCGGTTCCCTTGCCTACCATCGATGAATTATTTGACGAATTAGGAAAGGTTAGGGTGTTTTCAAAATTAGATCTAACTTCTGGCTTTCATCATATATGATTATCCCCTGCAGGTATTTCGAAAACAGCTTTTCGCACACATGATGGGCACTACGAATATCATGTTATGTCGTTTGGCTTATGCAACGCTCCGGCAACTTTTCAAGCTACTATGAATGATATTTTTCCTGATCTACTTCGCAAGTCCGTTATTGTTTTTTTCAATGATATCCTAGTTTTCAGCACCACTTTGGACACCCACCTTGGTCATTTGTCACAGGTATTTGATATCTTAGATAAGCATCAGTTTCATTTAAATCCAATGAAATGTTCTTTTTTCCAAATTCATATTGCTTATTTGGGTCATATTGTGGCTGAGGGGACCGTGGCACCCGACCCTTTGAAGTTACAAGGAGTAGTTGATTGGCCAACTCCTAAATCCGTGAAGAGCTTGCGTGGTTTTCTGGGTCTGTCCGGGTTTTATCGAAGATTTGTTCACGGTTATGCTACTTTGGCTCATCCTTTAACTTGCTTATTGAAAAAGAATGCTTTTGAGTGGTCCACCTTGGCTCAACAAGCTTTTTACAATTTAAAGGTTGCTTTAGCTACGACACCAGTTCTTGCCTTGCCGGATTTTTCTCTGCCGTTCATTGTGCAGACTGATGCCTTGGGGCATGCTATGGGCGCTGTTTTATTGCAGAATGATCATTCTATTGCGTATTTCAGCAAGCTATTTTGTCCTCGTCTTTCCCAGGCTTCCACTTACATACGTGAGCTTCATGTCATCACTTGAGCTGTAAAGCGTTGGCGTCAATACTTACTGGGAAATTATTTTGTGATTCAAACTGACCATCGTAGCTTGAAGGAATTGCTGACTCAAGTGATTCAAACTCCGGAGCAACAATTTTATTTTTCTAAATTATTGGGTTACCATTATGATATTCAATACAAGCCTGGAAAGACCAATACGGTGGCTGATGCATTGTCTCGTAGTTGTGAGCCTCCTGTTGCTGAGTTGCATGTGCTCTCCACACCTCAATTTCTGTTTATTGATGATTTACGCAAAGATTTGAACTCGGATGCCAATTATCAAGCATGCTGCCAACAAGTTGAATCTGATCTTTCACTTACTCCGGGTTATTCTGTGTCGAATGGTTTATTGCTTCACAAAGGGCGCATTTGGCTTCCTTCTACATCTCGTTTCAAGATGTTACTGCTCAAGGAATATCATGAAACTCCTATAGGGGGCCGCGCCGGTATGGTCAAAACCCTCAAACGCCTCTCCGCAAATTTTTTTTGGCCTTCTATGCGCCAAGACATCAAGCAATTTATACGAGAATGTGCTACCTGTCAGCAGACTAAGTACTTCACCAGCAAGCCTGGGGGATTGCTCCAGCCACTCCCCATTCCAGTGCACATTTGGGAGGACATTTCATTAGATTTTGTCACAGGGTTTCCCACTTCTAATGGGTTCACTGTTCTACTTGTCGTTTCTCTAAATATATGCATTTGGGAGCCTTGCCCACACATTTCACAGCTTATAAAGTGGCTGATCTTTTTGTTAACATTGTTTGCCAATTGCATGGTCTACCTCGGAGCATTGTCTCCGATAGAGATCCAGTTTTTGTTAGCAAATTTTGGTCTGAATTGTTCAAGTTCAGTGGTACTTTGCTTTGCATGAGCTCATCTTACCATCCTCAAACAGATGGACAAACAGAGGTCACTAATCGCACTATTGAACAGTATTTGAGGGCCTTTGTTCATCATAAACTTTCTCTTTGGCATCGTTATCTCCCTTGGGCAGACTATCATTACAATACATCATTTCATTCGTCGGCTGGGATGACACCTTACCAGGTAGTTTATGGTAAGCCTCCTCCTTCTATCCCATCGTATGTGACTGACACATCTGAATTAGTTGCATCTGATTAATTGTTGAGTACACGAGAGGCGGTATTGGAATTACTCAAGAAGAATTTGGCTAAGGCTCATACCCGAATGAAATCCATTGCTAACACCAAACGTCGAGAGGTGAATTTTGAGGTCAATTCATGGGTTTATGCCAAGCTGCAGCCATATCGCCAAATCTCTCTCTCTCTCTCTCTGGTATTAAGTATAATAAGTTGCACAAGAGGTATTATGGTCCATTTCGTGTGTTGGCTCACGTTGGAGCCATCGCTTATAAACTAGAACTCCCTTCACATTCAAAGATTCATGATGTTTTCCATTGTTCACTTTTGAAGCCACACGTGGGTCCTCCTCCTACTGAGAGTGGACATCTTCCTGCTGATTCAATGGGTAATTATTCCTTGCTCTCTCCCTTAACAATTCTGGATTCTAGAATTTTCACAGTTGATGACTGTCCCCAGCAACAAGTCTTGGTGCAGTGGACTGGTCTTGCACCAGAGGAGGCATCATGGGAGGCATGGCAGACTATGCGAAAAGTTTACAACCTTGAGGACAAGGTTGAATTTGAAGGAGTGGGTATTGATACAGTTGCGGACCCGGGAGGTGGAGTTAGCAACTTGCAGCCCACTATTCCTAATATTGATAGGCCCATTCGTACTAAG